AATAGGTTTAAATAATATTTCATGCTGTAACTATAGGGCTAATACAATCCGTCTCCTATGAACTGTATATGTGAATATTATGTAGATCTATTGTTTAAATCAAATTTATGCTTTAAAAGTAGAGTAATCATAGCAGTTTTCATCCATAGTCTGTCCATTTAAACGTCTGCGTTTAGCTTTAAATGGCTTCTTTGACGACAGTATTCTATAAAAATGATTTGCATTCAGATTCTGACATCCAAAGGCACAAAAATAATTTTTGCCTCTTATTCCATAAATTTGATCCATTTTCCCTCCACTTGTTACCAGTGTTTTTCGGCCACCACTATGTGCGCGCAACAGCAAGTGACGTAACTGTGACGTCTACTCCAAATTGGTCTATATGACATCATAAAATAATAAAATAAAAAAGAATGTTAATTTAATTTAATGTTAAGTTAATTTAGAATCTTCCAAAAAATCATGAAGTGTATTCAAGTCACTGTATGTGTGAATTATATTTTATGTGTTTTTGAAAACATTAACAGGACAAAAAAACAAAACAAAACACGTCAGCCACGTACGTCATTGGCCTATTTAACATCATAAAGTGTAAGAATGTGGCTGCACCTGAGTGTGTATTTAACAGTATGTACTCACGTAGCCCCCTCCTCCTGTGTGTTAGCGGGTGTACTGCCGGCTTCCTGTCCCCTGGCCGCCCGCTGTTTGTTCCGTACGCTCAGACACACAGACAGCAGCAGAAGCGCCACTCCTCCCCCTACTAGGACGAACGCCACAGATGAGGTCTCCCGAACTTGACCTTGATCCATGCCAGGTCTGGAGCTGTTCCCTCCGGACCCTGCCGGCACCACGCTCCACACAATCATGACTATCCCCAGAGCGATGAGGCCCACGCCCAATGCAGCAGTAGCATACTGCGCCCCAGAGTTACTGCCGCTGGTCCTGCTGGGGCTGGGTGGAGTCTGGTCACTGTAGGACATGCTTCCAAACCTTACCATGGACTCGAATCTCCTCTGGATATGTTGTTTGTCGTCCTGTGCCTGTCGAAATGCCTAAAAACCTAATCTAATTTTTCCTGTCTTTTCTGGAGCACTGACTCCCTCTGTGAACAGAAATTCAAACAAAGGTGAATCAGCAGAAAAGTGATTGAATAATCAAGACAGACTATCATAAAAGAGTCTTATATCAATCAACGTCCAAGATCCAAGCCCAGTCCCTTGATAAAGCCTGTGTGAAAATAGCGTAACCCAGCCTGTGCTTCAGCAGTGATAAGGTTTTTATCAAAGCATATTTATTGTACACACACATCAGTAGACATGATGTTAGGCTTGCCTAACTTCCTTCCATGAGATTAAGCAGGTGCCCCTTCAACTGAGCTTTAGTTACAGGTGCATAAAAATGGAAGAAAGAGTTTGATTCAAGAGTGAAGTGTGAGAGTTCACGGACTTCGGTGAAATTTCATCTCTGCTCTGTAAGGTGTATGTTAGAGTGAAAACCAGGCAGCTCCAAGTTCCAAAAATGTCTTTACCAACAATGTGTTATTGTTTAATAGACAAACACACACTAAAGAAAGCTCATCATAACTCTGCTGTGTCATGCCTACACAGCTCCAGGTATTGGTTATCTGTACAGGCAGGTCTGGGATAAGCGCTCTTACAGCACCCGAAATTTCATCTATGCTCTGTAAGGTGTATGTTAGAGTGAAAACCAGGCAGCTCCAAGCTCCAAAAATGTCTTTACCAACAATGTGTTATTGTTTAATAGACAAACACACACTAAAGAAAGCTCATCATAACTCTGCTGTGTCATGCCTACACAGCTCCAGGTATTGGTTATCTGTACAGGCAGGTCTGGGATAAGCGCTCTTACAGCACCCTTAATCATTTCTCAGCATGGTAGCAACATTAAGTCATGCTCCCAGATCAGTGTAAATCTTGTACATGCAGAGCCAGGTAGTTTATAATGGAATTATTTCCTTGAGTTGTGACTCATCAGTTATGCTGTGTGTATGGAAAAATGTGGGCAGTTGCTCATGAGCTTTGTCTTTGTATTCCAGCAGAGTATTTAAAATCTCGATGGACAGACATAATTTCATTGCAGCACATCTGACTTGTTCAATGTAATTTCCTTCACACATAAACAAGGTTTAGTAAGTGTACATGCCTGAAATAGATACATAACATAGAATTTACCTAGCACGTCTAAGCATGCAGACAGATAAAATTATGATAGTGAATCGGATCCTCACTGGGGAATGGCAGGAATTTCCTTCTCTCACAAAAGCCACTGTAGCCAGATTAGACAAGGGAAAAAAATAGTGCCACATAAATTCACATTACAAGGGAGAAAGGGTTCAGCTGAGGGAGCTCAAGGCAACCGGGGGCCCAGAAACTCTAGCCACATACAAAATTTCAGATGGAAGCTGTATCTTAGAGGGAAAAGTACACTCACATTCCAGCATCAGTGAACTTAGCGATAGTTCACCCAAATATTATGTCATCATTTACAGTACTCAAAATGACACCCAAGGGGGAGTTCACACAGAATAGGCTTTTATGATTAAAAATGCGAAATGCAAGGGGAATGGACAAAAGCTCTCCAGATGTGTTTCGAACTTATTTTAATTTACTTTAACTTGAGCACCTAGTTTTTATGCAAAATGCAAAAACGTTTAAAAATGTGTAAATGGCCGTAAGGCTGTCAGATGTGTAACATTCTGCCAAAAATCACCTTTTGTGCATCACGATAGAAATAAAGTCATTCAAGTTTGGAAAAGTATGAGGGCAAAGTTTTCTTTCTTGGTGTCCAAAGCATCAACGTCTGAAAATCTTATCTGAGTATATTTTGAACGTGTATACGTGTCAATGGAAACATAAAACATATCTCGATCTTTATAGAGTTAAATATCTTTAACGCAAACATTAGATTAGATTAATGCAACTTTACATGACCAGACGTCCTGTTAAACACTAAGAGATAGGAACAGCGATTCTTAACAGAATGATCACACTGTAAGGCGTAAAAACTGAAAATATATGATTAAATATATAAAGACACATTTAAAACAACAAACTACGCTGCGCACGACATGCGTCTTAAAAACCGAACGCGCTACGTAAAATAAACAGTAACAAAAGTTCCAGAAAAACGAGTCAAACTTCAAGTTCACTGGGAATGTAATAAGTCTTACCGAGACAAATTCCCTTTCTTTTGTTTAGGAGACCAAACCCGTTTAAATGCTGGATGAAATCACTTCTAATCCAATGATGCACACGTACACCGGAGCATTTGTTACATTCCTTAAGAAACTCAATTTGAATTTCTTAAAGCGGTTTGGCCTTGAGTTTCACAGACGTGAACATCTTCCTGTCCCTGCAGTCCAGAATTAACCCTTAACAGACCTGTTCGGGCTCCTGCCCCGCCCATGTGTTCTGAGGGGCAAAACTTCCCCATCCTCTGACACTGATGGTCCATAAAACTTTAGAGACTTTCAGTGAAACAGACAGTGATGAATATAAGAACGCCATATATAATACAGAGAAAATCTCAACTTTATTTTTAAATAAAATCATAAACTATCAGGGTTTCCAGTTTCATAACTGATTAAAAATCCAAGTCTTAATCTTATTTTCATTCATCTTTTCGTATTTCAGTCTTTTTTCCTCCTTTTTTTATTTTTACTATATAGTAATTATTGATAACCTTTAGGAAGACTGCAGATCTGTGGAGAAGCTGACATGGAGTTTATGTATGACATGGAGTTTAAAGGGGTCATATGATGTTGCTAAAAAGAACATTATTTTGTGAGCATTATTTATCACACCATTCTACAGTCAGGGTGGTGCACACATCAAATCACCAGCATCACCCACATAAATATGTCAAACAGGGCTCAGCCAAACATAAATTCCTAGAGCGGAACAAATGCTCAACAATATTTAACTACTTTATGGGCAGTTGTGATTCTGGCAGTGTTAATAATGTTGGACAAAGGTTGACCATATAGGCAAGGTGCTTCCTCATAACTTTACGTTAAGAAACGTCATGTAACTTTTACAGTAAATGGAACAAGGAGTGCTCTGACATGTATTACGTATTTTTCTCAGTATAATGAAGTACTTTATTAATCCTGTGTGGGAAACTGGGAATTTCAGGTATGATGTTTATCAGATACTAGAAATATGAGGAACAAATATTTAACAAGAACACAACAATGCCAAAGGGGGGGAAATTTGCTGATAATTTCTTTCAAAAAATTTCAACCCCCTAAAAATGGTTTCTTGTCTTAATGTCCTGGGATAAAATAGGGAAGTAGGCTACCAGAGAGAAGATTTTGGGAATTTCAGGTATGATGTTTATCAGATACTAGAAATATGAGGAACAAATATTTAACAAGAACACAACAATGCCAAAGGGGGGAAAATTTGCTGATAATTTCTTTCAAAAAATTTCAACCCCCTAAAAATGGTTTCTTGTCTTAATGTCCTGGGATAAAATAGGGAAGTAGGCTACCAGAGAGAAGATTTAACAAAAATGTAAGACCATTTTTATATGGTGAACATGTTGTCCTGTCTTTATCTATAAAAAAATATGCACCTCCTTTTACGCTGCTTCAGAAAGTCGGTTAATAACCACATAAATGTACAAGAGTCATATTTTTTATCTTTGCACATTTACTATGATGATTAGCCTAACCCCTGCTACAGCTTAGCAATGTTCATGACCTTGGAGTTAGTAGCATAGCTATGTTTGCATGATATTGAGATTGGTGATTTACAGTTGGTACACAAAAGCAGCAGGTTTGAACCATTTGAACCAATTAGGAGTAGAGGCAAATTTGAAATTTGGTTCATGTTACAAAATTGTGTGTGCATGAGTAGTTATGGACCTGCTATTCACCTACTGTAACATCATAATTTTAACCACATAACTAAGCGAAACCCATTGGATATAAAGTTAATTTAGGTAAATTTATGAAATTCAAATAATCATCTATTTAAATAATGATGTACTGTATAACACAACATTTTACAGTATTTTTGTGGTACTAAATCTAATGTTCTCAGAGTCTGTTTTCTAAAATGTACACATTAAATGTGAAAATATTCATTTTATTGGGGAAAAAAATCCAACTTTAACACAATTTTCTTTGTGGAGTTCTCAAAAATCATAGTTATAATTGTCAGGATGCTTCAACCTGCTTCCTCACACATTCCTTACCCGCACATGACAATAATTTCATCAAAATCTAAACAGATAAATACATTTTTAGTGTGTGTGCCCTTTCAAATGGAATCTTAACATTGTCTCACTTTGAGACAAATGAGTCTACAGTCACAAACAACAACATAAGGTCTACAAAGCAAAGCCAAGACCCCTACTGGCAAACTGAGAGTCCAGAGACTGAAAATGTGAACTTTCATTGAGATTTCATCAACATTCACCTTGAAAAAGAAAATAAAATCCCCCATTTGGGAGCTTTAAGAAAGTGTCATGTTTTTCATCAGTGATCTCAACAGGAGAATGACTCAGACATTGGTGAGCTCAGCAGCAGAAAAATGTAGAACTGGGCAACGCTCTCGTTGTAGCGAGACCTCCTGAAGTCCATTCCTTGGAAATGACCCAGATCTGTTCTGGTGACTGATCTTTCGCCCAGTGAAATTCTTTGGGCTGAGACCAAGCTGCTGCTGTAGAAAAGAAAATGGATCCATCAGATTTCTAATTCACTGGAGCTACAAACATTTAACATTTGAATTATTCAAGCAATAATGCAAATCTTCTCTCTCTGAGGATGCATTGTTACTGAGAACTACACTTGAAGGAACTAAAGAGCAAAAACCTTGAAAAGAGAGCAAACACTGCTTGTGCAAAGAGATTTATGCAAAGGATAAAGTGTTAACTAACTACATTTAAAGTAATTGTTCACCCAAAAATAAAAAATCTGCCATCATTTACCTTGTGTCCTTTCAAACTATGGAACACACAGAACACAAAAGACAATATTCTGAAGAACAAACAGGGTGCGCAGAGGTATGCAAATACATATGCTGACAGGCAGGTAGGAAAGCCTCTCATAATGTTCGGACCGAACATTTTGATTGGATGAACATTTCTTGGTCCTGCGCCTTCCACAGAATATATAAATACATATAAATACATTAAGACCACTTAACTTAATGATTGCTATCGGGAAGTGAAGAGACTTTCAACCAGAATAACAAAAATATTTCTGAAGACAATCACCTATTGCACTTTTAAATCCTGTTCAGAATCAGAAAGTAGTGCAGCTGCTTTGTTTACGGGGTTTCCGAGGTAATGCCTGCATTTCTGCTGTTCCAGAGTGGATGTGCATTTTCAGCGCATACACTCGTTCCGCCTTGCGCTTCTCATCCATGTTGGGCTTGTTTATATCAGAGTGTACATCAAAGTATTTGCATAAATTTTAATGTAATTTGTAATAAATAGTTCGCTGTATTTTAAAGTGCCTACGACAACAATATTGTGCATGCTCATAATCATGGTATATTGTATTACCGAATACTGGCACATGTCTAAATGTGGCGTTTGTATGAGTTTTAAGAATTTATGATTCAGCTTTAGTGTTCTACCTTCACCCTCCTTAAAGACTGCTGATCGTCATGACAGCTGGGTGATGAGCTGCTTAGAGAACTTTGCCGGTGAAGTGTGGGCGGAGTCCCCAAAGGTTCGACTTCCTGATCAAGCCCTGCCCTGTACACACAGACATCAGAGAAATCTGCATGACTCGACTGTCTCTTGAACTTGTACGACATTATATTCAAAGAGACATTGATTCATTGAGACATATACATTTGTAGAGTTAGACACGGACACATACAGTACGGCAATACTAACAGACAGTCTTACCTGGCTGCACTGACAAGTGCCTTCACCTCTTCATTCAGGTGATGACGGACCATGTGCTTGTTGCTTGGAATACATAAAGCCGCTGCCATGGTGTCAGAGCTGAAGGAGGGATCCATCACCATGATGGCACCATGAACCCCACTGCTCTGAAGATTGTCAGCAAACTCCTAAATGAAAAAATATGTCTTTCTTTTGAGTTTTTCCATATACCAACACCTAGACTTTCTCTGTTAGCACTGCTGTTCTCTCTCAGTGGTACCTTCAGATCAATCTCTTTGATCCATTTGATGATGCGATGACAGGTCCACACTACAGGGTCTGTGTTCTGATTCTGACACTCTGATCGCCTAGACTGCAAAATCTGCAGCAAAACAGTATTTGGGTAATTGTTGTTTATCTACATTAACTTACTATACAGACAAACAGGGTATGTTTTCCAAACTGGGCTATTCTGATGTGTGTGTGTGTGTGTGTGTTTGTGATGGTTGTTGTTCCTTTTTGGTAAGGTTTAGTGCCTGTGGGAATTCCCATCATGCTGTTCTTCTGGTTTATGTGTGTGTGTTACCTCTTTGTCAAAGTTGAGTGTGTGTAGCAGCTGTATTCCCAGCAGCAGGCTGATCTGGTGGGCTTTTTTAGACACGTGCAGATGCTTCTCAAGGTCGGTGCGTGTGAATGTACTTAGGAGACGTCCGTCCACAAGGTGAGTGTGGAAGAACTGGGAATATTGAGGGAGACCTACATCAGTCAGCCAGGCCTGAGCCACCCAGTGGTGATCCAGATCAGCTGCTTTAGAAAGGCTGAAACAACATAAGAAAAGAAAAGGAAAAATATTTGATAAATCTAGATATAAATTCTTAGAAATGCACTCTTTGTATTCAAGCTAGTTTTGTATACCGTTTTACTAAGAGAAGTTGTTATTTACTCTAATAAAGAAACAAGTGATGAGCCAACATTATTATTATTTTGTGTGTGTGTGTGTGTGTGGTAATCAACATTATGCCACAAATGTTGCAGACTGAACTTAACTTGAACCTGGAATATTTTTTTAAATATTTAAAAAATATATATATTTTAAATAAATTTTTAAGGATTATTAATAAAATAACATTGGGATGCTATTAATAACATAAATAGAATGACGTTTTCACACCACTTGAGCTTAAAGGGATTGTTCACTCAAAAATCCAAGTTTCTGTCATCATTTACTCACCTTCAAATCTGTTCATCATAAAAAGCAATCATATTTCATCTCACACGGCTTGATTTAAACCATTTGATACATATATGTATCAAATGGTTTAAATCAAGCCGTGTGAGATGAGATATGATTGCTTTTGATATGGATTGATTTTATAATGCATTTTTGACCTTTTTGCTTTTTGGATCTTCTACACTTTGGTTACCTGGACTTTTAATGGAGGGACAGAAACCTCTTAGGTTTTATTAAAATATCTTGTGTTCTGAATATATCTGAGAGCAAGCAAATGATGACAGAATTTTGGGGTGAACTATCCCATAAGTTTTTTATTTTTATTTTTTTTAAATCTGCAGGGGTCCCCTCGAAGACATCACTGTTCCGTTTTTTTTTTTTATATGCAGGGGCAGATTATTTTATTTATTTGTAAGTGTTAAGCTATGTTTCCTACCCATGTCCTGATTCCACATCCCTGTAGTCTTCAATGGCCAGACGGAGTTTCCTGCGGTGCATTGAATTACTGATACCTAAAACAAACTCCAGGTCCTCATTCGTAAGAACTAACAAGACCTAACAAAACACACACACAGAAATTAATGTTTAATTCTAACATTCACAAACACTGCTTGTTTAAATAGCCCAAAGCATGCAGGCCTGACAGGATATGTGCATTTTAGGGTATAATTTTATAGACTGGTGTAGACAAGTGTTCATGCATCATACCGACAAGGTCACGTCTACCTTCCCACTTTTAACGTTGTCTGCACAGGCCCGTATGTACATGGGCATGGCCATGATCACCTCCAGCCACGCCTGCACGGTTCCTGCACGCCAACGGGACATGGGGGCCGTCCGCGCGAGCTCCACCTGCTGAAGCCGATCCAGATGCTCCTCGCATTCTGATAGGCTCACACTGAGGCGGGCGGGGCTTGATAAACTGTCGGAGTCTAGATTGGTGGATGACGGGAGAGGGGCGGGACTTAATGCGAGTTTGTTTTCTATAATTTACGAGCATAACCACCGTGTTTTCTCAAGTGAAGACAAGTATGTATACGGTACCATAAACACAAAATATATTAATCCAGAGATAAAAAGTTAGATAAATGTCTTGGAACAAAATTTTTTTCCCATTTACATAGTTTTTGAACAGCAGCCACCAAAGCGTCTGTTAAAGCGTCTTCTGTGCGCGAACCAATAATTTCACCAGTAGACGGCAGCACTAAACCGCCTTCAAAAACTGCAATCAACCCAAGCGCCCATAATTAGTTAATAATAGGGTTGTTTCGAAAAACAAAGCACTCCTTTCTTAGAATCAATCTTAAGTATTTGGGTCCAGAGGTTGTAAAATAATGACTGACAAAACAGATGGCTACTGCTAAGACCTTGTACAGAGTAAACGTTGTTGGAAAAGAACAGCTTGTCTGGTTTTGCCTGTTAAGATACTGCTTTTATCTCATCTACACAAACTATTCATATATTAAACCATTTCCCCCTCCTTCCTCCTTCTCTAATAGAGCTTCTTTATCAGGATTGTGGAGTTCGCACATCACCAGGAGCTAATGAGCCACTGCAGAGAAAAACAATGTACACAGAATTCATCCTGCGCCAAAATGACTTTGAGAGCCCCGTAAAGATTTAAAAGTGAGATAAAAAGGACGAATGGATTAAACAACCACACACACATACAGATAAATGCCCCATGTGGTTAAAGATATTTAGTAATGAGTTAGTTAATTATGCTCATTACTACCTAAACGCCATCAGGCAGTCGATGAAGTAGCCACAGACAAGCTCAGGGAGGCAAAGTGCCAAAACACAATTACAAAGAGCGAAGAACTCAGCCACACACTGTTCAGTGTTTCTGATTTTATTTCAAAATAGTCTGTAGTTATATAACTTATTTCCATTTTCATTTCCATGCCAGTTAGAGTTCCATGCTATTCAGCACCAGCTTGAGCCAAACGCAACAGGGAAAACGAGAGCAGTCTCTTCATCTCCAGCGGATGAAGAACACACTACATGCTCTGAAAACGTATTTATTCTTCATTTCATGTCAGTGCAATATTGAAATGTATACAATGGTAAGAATCTGCCACTGAATGATAGCTAGCATTGATTTCAGAAAAATACAAATAATAGACTATAAATACAAAGTTTAATGGTGAAAGGCCCTGTAAAGTAAATGTATCCAGTCCCCACTTGCAAAGCAACATGGGAAACTACTGTGGTGCTCTATGTCATACCCTGCTTTATTAAAAGGTACAATAATCATTTCCATGACAAATATCCTAGTTTTTTTTAAATATATATAACCATATGGGTTTTGTATTTCCACACTGTTCTCAGATCAGTTTTTGCCTCCTGGTTAATATTGTTGTGAAGGCAGTTGTCAGAGTTAGTGTGTGTAACGGTGGTTATAAACTCTCCTGTGGGAAAGGCAGGGCCAGCCACTGTTCACTAAAAGTCACAGACTACATCAAATGTCCAAATACCAGAATATGCTGCAGATAGATGAATAGATATCTTTTGGATCACAGTGTGAAAAAGCAAATGTCCTTTTTTTGGTTTTCATACACGCTGAGGGTCCTGCTGGCTTCCGACAGGAGAGCTCCATCAATATGTTTAACACAGGTTTAAAAACAGCTGAGACAATGAGCGTTAAATGATATAAAAGGCATCTGGAAACACTTACAAGCACAGAGTGCACAATGACTATTATTTACACATTCAGCAGTCCTTCAAGTTTCCAGTGAGATGTTAAAGTGGGTATAAAATGAACACACACACACACAAACTCTGGGCAGGTTTGGGTCTACTGCGGCACAGTTTGGAATCATTGTACAGTCAGCTTGTGCTCATAAAGATGGCAGCGATAGAGACACACACACACACACACACACAAAAAAACGAGTTGGGGGGCTCTCAGCAGCATCACCAGTCAGCATCCTCCTCTATGTAGTAGTCAGGTGTGTTAGTACCATCAAACAGAGTGGGGTCTAGAGACTTTCTTTGCTTTCCTCGACCGAC